CTGAAGGGTTTTTGGGGATTTGTGGAGCTGTTCTGTGTTTCCCACCCGTTCTCACCTGCATTTTCACTCACAGTTATTCAAACTCCAGCAGGGAGAAGTCCCTGGGTGCTCTTTTTGGATCCCATCAGGGAGGAAAAGTCTCTGGGTGCTCTTTTTGGATCCCATCAGGGAGGAAAAGTCTCTGGGTGCTCTTTTTGGACCCCATCAGGGACAGACCCGGCTGTGAGGGGTTCCTGGCAGTGTGACTGGGGATTTCAGGTGGCATTTTTGGGGTGACCCCATATCCTGTAGCTGCTCCACAGTGGAGAAGGGTGAGGATGGGTCATCCCAAACCCCACTAAGAGACCAAAGAGCCTCTCCTCCAGTGCAGGGCAGGAGCTGTGCCCTGATTGAGGCTGATTCCTGCTCTCCATAATCCAGCAGAGCCCTTTCACCCTAAGGACCCGGCTGGAATAACCATGCCAGGAAAACATCCCGCTCTGGCCATCCACATGAGCAGGAAATGTGATGGAAATTCTGGGTTGTGGGAGCTGAAGTGGGTGTGGGGACCATGGGGTGGGGGGGACACGGCCTTTTCCACACCTTCCCACCGGGAAATCTGGGATGCCAAGGGGTCTGGGAGGATTTCTGGATGGGAAAAGCAGCGGTGCTCTCCAGCCCCGGTTCCTGGGGGGGGTAAATAACCGGGTGTCGGGTGTCTGCTGGGAGCAGCCGCGCCATTAGAAACGCAAATATCGGCTCCAGCTTCTCCCCTTGGCTCCACTCCCCATCTCCGGATCTGGAGACGCTTCCAACCCAAACCTCCGCGGCTCCCAGCCCTTCCCAGAGCCCCCCCAGACCCCAGGGCTGCCTCTCCCCTGCTCTGGAGCCTCTCGGGGAGGGTCTGGGGGCTCAGCCCCTCCAGGGAGCGGACTGGCACAATCCACCACATCTTCCTCCTCCTCTGAGACTTCACCCAACACAGAGACCCTGTCCCGGGGGGCGGTGGGAGAGCTCTGGGGTCCTTTGTGTGGGCTGGAGACCCCACAGCGTGGTCCCCTATGGGGCAGGGGGGGAATCTGGAGCTTCTGGGGGGCAGGAGGAGCTCCTGGGGATGCTCCAGCTGGGAGCAGGACCCGCCAAACCCCCGCACTGTTTCATGTACCAAACTGTAATTAGGAGCAAAGGGCAGAGGGCTGCGAAGGGGCATTAATAAATGATCTCCCTGCTTGTTAATTGACGTGTCTCAGTCAGCCCGTGGTGGAGCCCAGGGCTTGGCTCCCCTTCCAGGAGCATCACAGCCTTATTACTGCCCTCATTAGCATATTCAGGGCTCCCTGCTTAAAGCCAATTAGCTCCCGGCCAGGCCTGATTGGGAAGCCTCGGCCTCATTTGCACATTTTTGAATTGGTGAAAGAATCAAAATTAATGGAGGCAGCTCGGGGCTGGGGAGCGCTGGGGGGGCTCTGCCAGGACCTGCTGGGGAGGGCGAGGGGGAACAGCCAGGTCATTAGGATAAAAAGGAACGTGGGATAATTTGGTCCTGGGCGCCTTGGGGAGTTCATCCTTCCCGGTTCATCCTTCTCATTTCATCCCTCCCACTTCATCCATCCCAGTTCATCCATCCCACTTCATCCATCCCACTTCATCCATCCCACTTCATCCATCCCAGTTCAACCTTCCCAGTTCATCCATCCCAGTTCATCCATCCCACTTCATCCATCCCACTTCATCCATCCCAGTTCATCCATCCCACTTCATCCCTCCCAGTTCGTCCCTCCCAGTTCGTCCTTCCCAGTTCATCCCTCCCAGTTCAACCTTCCCAGTTCAACCTTCCCAGTTCGTCCTTCCCAGTTCAACCTTCCCAGTTCAACCTTCCCAGTTCATCCCTCCCAGTTCAACCTTCCCAGTTCATCCATCCCACTTCATCCCCTCTAGGTTTGTCCATCCCAGCTCGTTCTTCCCAGCTCATCCCTCCCAGTTCATCCCTCCCAATTCATCCCTCCTAGTTCGTCCTTCCCACTTCATCCCCTCCCAGTTCATCCATCCCAGTTCATCCTTCCCAGTTTGTTCTTCTCAGTTCATCCCTCCCAGTTCATCCCTCCCAGTTCAGCCACCCTGCGCTGATTCCCACTGATTCCCGCTGATTCCTGGGGGAAGAAGAGGCCATGGAGAGGTCTGGGATGGGGCAAGCACGGCTGCTCTGGGCTGGGGTTGTGTTCATTTCCTTCCTGGAGCCGCCGTGGGTGATAACTCAGGGATGCTTTGGGCTGGACACTTATTTATCACCCAAAAGTGCATCCCCTGATCTCTCAGCTCGGTGCTGGGAGGAGTTCTGCTCCAAAAATCATCAGGAATCATGAACCAATTAACTCTGGAAAGTTATGCTGGCCCAGTTTTTGAAGTCTGCTTTGATTCCCTGCCTGCTGTGGCTGTTAATCACTATTTAATGCAGCTTTCTGCATTTTTATCATCATTTTATCTGCTGTAATTTATTGTGTGTTACCTTAACCAAGGAAGCATTTTCATGCCTTGAATGTCTCCATGTAGGAAACCCCTGCTCTGCTGCCTCTCAAGCGCCAGTTGTTTTATTAATTAAAAATTTATCAGCTTAATAGAGAAGTAAAAGGCTTTTTTCCCCTCCTCCTGGGCATAGAGTCTCCTCTGGAAATCCCAGTTCCTTCCAATTCCCCACTGCCGTGTCCTGGACCTGCAGGCTCTGCTTGGCATTCCCACGGTGCTCTCTGAAGGTCAATAAGAATTAACTGTAAATTCCATTAAAGTTCTCAATCTTTAGGCGAAAGCGAAGCACAACAAAGCCGGCTCTGCTCTTCGCCAGTTGAAGCCAGATCTGGAGGGAGCTGGGTGTTATCAATAATTAACCGGGGTAATTTAGGGGAAGTATTAGGATGTTAATGAAAATGTGAAGTGCTTAATTATCCTGGGAGGAGCTGGAAGCGCTCGGGCTGCTGAGGAAGAGGAGGTGTTGCACAATGAACTCTTGGAAGCTGCTGTTCCCGGCGGGATCCGGGATGTCCCTGGGATGTCCCTGGGATGGGGCAGTTCGGTCCCTGCACCCCATCACAGCCACAGGAGCCTCATTAAAACTTCTGTTAATTACATTGTAATTAAGCTGTGGATGGTGTGGCTGCCCTGGATGTCGCTCTGCAGGAGGAAGGGAGGGATAAGAGAGGTTTTCCAGAGAGGCTGGATGTGTCCAGGGCCAGGATGTGGTTTGGCCTCTGCAGGGTCTCCCATCCCCAGCGTTTGCTGCTGGGAATAAACAATTTATTTTCCCCTGAGGAGTGGGACTGTTTCAGCTTTGCTGAGAGGGTTGGGATCGGGTGAGGATGAAGAAGGAGCCGTTCAGAAATCCCAGAGGCATCCAGGGAAACACCACAGGGATGCCTCAGGAAGCTGCCAGGAGAAGCAGCCTGGAAAACCCTGTGGCATTTTCGGAATGGAGTTCAAGTCAAGGACGCTTGGCTGGCCGGGAAGCCCCAGCAGGAGCTGGAGATGTGGATCCAGATCCGTTGGGTTTTCCTTGACCCTGGACCAGCACAGGGAGGGGACAGGGATGGGTCTAATCCCTGGGAAGGTGCTGCCCAGCAGGAGCTCTGTCAGTCAGTTGAGTGCAGTTATTTGGGGTGGGGAAAGTGCTGGAAAGGATGGGAAAAGCACCCGAGACTGCCCCGGGATTCATGGATGCTTGAAGGGCATCCCACAGGTGCCAAACAGAGGGGTTGTGCTGCCAGGTGAGAGCACCAGGGACAGGAATGAGCTCTAAAAATGTTGGCACCGTGAAAAAATTAAAATAAAAATTAAAATAAAAATTAAAATAAAAACGTAAAATAAAAGTGTGTGGGGGGGAAGCCACAAATGGCTTCTGCCTCTTGTTTGGGGGAGGGAGCTGTGGGGGCCCAGCGTGGCTCGCAAATGCTTTTAATAAAGTGTTCTTTCCTGAGTCCAGGGGAAAAATTCCCAGAAACCTCAAGCTTTTCCCATTACATAAGGAGCAGATGCTGCTGGGCAGAGCCGAGGTCCCCCAGCACAGCCCTGTCCCTGTCCCCAGCCGCGGGGACCCGGCTCCCTGCCAGGCACAGCATCCTTGGGTGGAATTCCCAGAGAATCCGCGGCTGCAGAAGTGGCCCGGGCCAGCCTGGACAGGGCTTGGAGCAGCCTGGGACAGTGGAAATGTCCCTGCCCATGGATGATCTGAGAGATCCCTTCCCAAACATCCCAGGGTTTTGTGATTCCCCTTGGAGGTGGGGGAGGATGTGGAGGGCAGAGGGGCAGGTGCCGGTGCTGGTGGCAGGGAGGACCCGTTGACGTGGCTGGGTAATTTCTGCCGCAATTAATGCCTCATTAAAGTGCGCGAGGGAACAATCGAAGCAGTGAATTTTACCCAGCACAATGGCTGGGCCCTCAGGGTTTTTCTGCCTTTCTTTCGCAAAGGAAACAGTCTTTTTCTGGCTTGAACTGCTCCTTGTCTGGAGGCAGAGGAGGAGGGAGCCTTGGTGGGCATCTCCACCCCCGGCTGCTGCTTGGGCATCACCCCCGTGACGGGATTTTCCTCTGCAATCCCACGGGGCGAGTTGAAACCTCCAGGACATGAAATCTGACTGGAGGCAGGGATGAAAACCAGCCTTGTCCCGAAATGTTCGTGTTGAGACACCCATCACCCACTGAAACTGGGATTTCCAGGGCTGGGAAGGGGTTGTGGGAGAATTCCAAGGGGGAAGAGCAGCCTGCAGGTGTCCTGTGGATGCTGCTGGAGTGACAGGGATGGACTCTGGAGGGGACAAAGGGAATGCTGAGATGGGCAGAGAGTCTGGAGCACGGGGGGTCGTAGGAAGGGTTCTGAAGATTAAGGAGGTGCCCAGGGGGTGTGACCAGGTGGGGCAGGAGGGAAGGGGAGACGCGGCTGTGGTTGGGAAGCCCCCGAGAGTTTCTGGCCGGGTTTTGGGTTTTTTTCCCTCCCGTTGTGACATCGGGTCCTGACCGTGTCCCTCTCTCCTCAGGAGCCTGATGCCTCGGACACTGGAGGGACAGATCACCATGGAGAAGACCCCCAGCTACTTTGTCACCAAGGAGGCCCCGCGGCGCATCTTCAACATGTCCCGGGACACGAAGCTGATCGTGGTGGTGCGCAACCCCGTCACCCGCGCCATCTCGGACTACACGCAGACCCTCTCCAAAAACCCCTCCATCCCCAGCTTCCAGGCTCTGGCCTTCAAAAACCTCAGCACGGGACTGATCGACACGAGCTGGAGCGCGGTGAGGATCGGGATCTATGCCAAGCACCTGGATAATTGGCTGCAGTACTTCCCGCTCTCCAAATTCCTCTTTGTCAGCGGGGAGAGGCTGGTCAGCGACCCTGCCGGGGAGATGGGCCGTGTCCAGGACTTCCTGGGGCTCCAGAGGGTGGTGACGGACAAACATTTCTATTTTAATGAGACCAAGGGCTTTCCCTGCCTGAAGAAGCCGGAGGGGGGGAGCAAACCCCGCTGCCTGGGGAAATCCAAGGGGCGGCCGCATCCCAAAATCGACGGGCAGGTGGTGCAGCGCCTGCGGGAGTTCTACAGACCCTTCAACATGAAGTTTTATCAGATGACAGGGCAGGATTTCGGGTGGGACTGAGCCCATCACCAGGGCACGCTGCCGGGCTGGCACCTGGGCTGCCAGGACTGCAGCCCAGGGATGTCCGTGGTCATCGTGGTCAAGGGATCCTTGCGGTCATCGTGGTCAAGAGATGTCTGTGGTCACTGTGGTCAAGGGATCCCTGTGGTCATCGTGGTCAAGGGATCCCTGTGGTCATCTTGGTCAAGAGATGTCCATGGTCATCATGGTCAAGGGATCCCTGTGGTCATCGTGGTGAAGGGATGCCCATGGTCATCATGGTCCAGGGGTGCCCATGGGCATCATGGTCAAGGGATATCCATGGTCATCGTGGCCACCCCACCAGCACCCTCCTCCCTTCGTTCTAATTTATATTGGACCTTTTCTGGCAAGAAATGGACTTTTCTGGAGTAGAGAGAAATATTTAAGAAATAAAACCAGAGATGAGCCCTCTCCCCTCCCTGAGCAGATTAAATATTCTTCCATATAAACCTCGCTGATCTGCGTTAACTGGGAGCGCTCCGGGTGGGTTTGTGGGATCATGGATAAAAGGAAACCTTTGGAAACCTCTGGGGCAGGCAGGCAGTGGGGTTTTGCAGAACCAGCTTGTGGGGGTGACACAGTCATCAGGGGACGGCTGGGCAGCAAACCCCAATCCTGGGAGATGTTTTGTAAAAGAATCTGCAGGAATTTCCCAGCTGAGCAAAACAATGAAGAGCAGCAGTTCTGAATAAATGCCAGCTCCTGGCTTAGGGAGAGGGAGCTCTGGATCACCTTCCCATGTTTCATGAGCGGCCCAGCTGACAGAGCAGGGCCTTTCTAACCCTTAGGAGGAAAATTCCAGCTTCTCCACAATTCACCCAAACTCTGCCCTTTCAGTTCAATAATCTCAATAGTTTTTCAAATCCTCAGCCATCGAGGGTCATCACGGGAGGCTGCAGAAATTACTTTAATCTCTACTAACTAGTTTTCCCTAAATTAAAGATGGGGAAAACATTTAATTAACCTCTAAGATCTTATTAGTGACTTGTATTTGTCTCTTTAATGAGCTAATTATGAGTTTTGGAGCGCCCTCAGGCCCGGCATTATTCGCAAATCTGCTTTGGCTGTGGTTTCTTCCATCATGCAGCATCCCAAACCTGCATCCCCGAGCTGCTGAGGTGCCTCCTCTCCTCGCTGCTGCTGCTGCCTGGGCACGCTGAGGGAAGCGGGTACCACTTCTGGAATGTTCCATGGGCCGCGTTCCTTTTTCTCCAAGCTCCGGCTGCTTTCACACCCACCCCTGGGGTTTGATCCCGCTCAGCTCTGGGGTCCTGGCACCTCTCTCGAGTCCCTGGAGGTGCGGTTTGTTTCCTGTCCCATGCTCCGGGCTGCAGGGGAGGTCGGACACGTTCCCGTTCATTCCCGGGACAGGCTCCAGGTGCTGCTGGTGCCGCTCCCGGGCGAGCGACAAAAACCGGGATATTGCCAAGGAGGAGTGAGAGGAGACAAAACCGGCACCGCTTGAAATCCCAGAGCCTTGGGGGTGATGGAGCTTTTGTGGGGATGGGCTCGGGTCCCCCGGCTGTGTCCCCCAGGTCCGTGTCCCCCCGGGTCACCGCCCCGCCGGGGATGGGATGTCGAGCGGCTGGAGCCCCTTGTCAGCCTCGCTGGCAGCTCCGCATGATGGACTGCGCTCTGCTTGTTTAGGTTTTGTTTCCAGCCACGACATTCGACCAAATTATTCTCCACGAAGGGCTTTAAAGTTTCCCAAGTGCCTGTGAAAGCCTGGAAACGCTGATAGTGATCCTATTTCTCAGCTGAGTGACTGCATTCAGCGCCAGCCGTATTGATATGCAAAACGTTAAGGGTCCCGGCTCTAAAGATGGTTTCTGTCTGCCCTGTGAAAGGGAACCATACTTTTTTAAAGCCCGGCCCTTTCTAAAGCCGCACAATACCATATAGACTATGCCATTTAAAGCATCTGAAGCGACCCAAAATGTATTGAAAGCTCGCTTTGCAGACTCATTAAGACTACTCAATGGGTTCTGGCAAATACCGTGCCAGGGCTGACCGCACGGATTAAGACTTTTGAAGTGTTACACAAACCCCCTGCTTAAACTAATTGCTGCCCCGCAGCTCACGAGGTCAAGTATTTGTATTCATTGCCTCCGAGAGGAGCCACTTACTGCTCTGTCCAGGTGAAGTCTGCACTTCATTAGATCAAGACAAAAAAAACCAGCTTTGGTAGGAAGGGGATGAAATCTCCCGGCTCCTGCTCTGAGCCAAGCGCAGGCTTAAATCCACCTCGGCGGAGTTCGTGGTGCTTTCAAGAGCTCCAGTGGAGCGATGCGCTCCAAAGAAAGTGTTTCAGTGCGGGATGGTGACAGCAGCCCTGTCCCACTTGTGCTGCCGCGGAGGTTTCAGCTTGAGCAGAGATTCCTTGGAATTCCGAGCGCTCATTGAGCACTTATCCAGTGGGGCATTTCATTCTCCAGGGTCATGGAATCCTGGAATTGGGTTGGAGGGGCCTTAAAGCCCATCCAGTGCCACCCCATCAAACCTCTCACCATCCCAGGCTGCTCCAAGCCCCGTCCAAGCTGGCCTTGGACAATTCCAGGGATCCAGGGGCAGCCACAGCTCCTCTGGGAGGAATTGCTCTGAAATTCCCACAGAGGCTCAGGGACAGGTGTCACTGCTGGATCTTCCTGCTCAAAACCTCTGGGAATAAAGTTGTAATGAGAGGATGCTGAGCTGTGCTGGTGTTTTCTGGGACAGAGGGAGTTTGGGCAGCTGCTTGCTCAGGAGATGATGGCAAAACACCCCGTGCTTGTGGAGCTGGAAAAATGTCCCTGGAGCACCAGGTTGGTTGGGGAAGTGCCAGAGCAAGAGGATGATGAAGATCCAGCTTTGCAGCCAAGTATGAAATGAAGTTTTCATCCCCATCTCAGTTAACCAAAGTTTCCATTTCTAGACCCAGTTTTGTTTTGAAAATCCAGCTATCCAAAGTTTTGTGGTTCCTGTGCTCTGGGCCTCCCTCTCCATTCCACTTCATAAGCCAGGAAGAGCAGGGCTGGAAAAGCTTTCCAAATTTTTTTTATTTACTCCTTTTTCTGTTATACCAGATTTAGGAGGACAGAAGGGAAAGAACAAAAATAGGGAAGAAAGAAAAAAAAAAAAAAGCTCCAAAAGCAAGAAGTTAAAACTTCCCTGCTTTTGCGTGGGTCTGGAGATGAGGAGAGCAGCAGGGCTGATTTTCAGTCCCACATTTCGTCTTGAATGTTTATAACCTGTAACAGGGAAAGTCTTGCTCTTCCCTGGAAATGCCCATCCATCCCCATTCCCCTTCCCTGCTGCCACATGTGTGGCCCCAGCTGTCCCACACCACATTCCCCAGGTGAGGCTGCCGGGGAATGGCCCATGGGGGATACAAAAGCTGGGACGAGGCACTGGAGCTTCCCTGCAGGATTTCCACTCAGGGAGCAGGAGCTGGCACTGCCTGGCAACTGGGGGCTGCTGCCAGGGGTGTTGGGTGTCCTTCCTGCTGTTTTTGGGAGCTGCAGCAGTGTGGTTGTGTGCAGCCATCACGTGCAAATGCCAAATTTGTGCTCCCATTTGAAGCAGCAAGGCGTTGCCTCTCTTAATTAATTTATATCACAAGAATAAAAAGAATAAATTGATGCCTTTCTGGTGGCAGGATTCCCCTGGCAGGAGGTGAGCCCCAGGGAACCCCTCATGGGTATGGGGTAGAGGGGACACATGGGATGGGGCACTGCCACCACTGCTCCTTCCCTGGGGAATGGGCACACATGGGATGGGCAGGAGGAGGGGGATGGCTCGAGCCTTTGGGGCTGGCTCATGGTGATGCCAACAGCTGGTGTTGGAGGAGAGAATGGAGCTGAAAGGGCTGATCCAACCCCGTTTTCCCCAGTTTATGTGGCTGGGAGTGCTGGTGCAGATCACTAAGCCACTGCTGGGAAGGCACAGCCAGCTCTGCCCGAGCACTGCCGTCCAAGCTGGCAGCCACGCCTGGAAATCAACAGCGAGCTAATTTCCCCCCTTTTTCTTTCCTTTTACTCTGAGTTTAAACTTCCATCTGATGGCTGATTGCTGAAGACCCCCCCTGGCAGCCGCAGCACGCTGCTGGCAGATGCCAGAGGGAAGGAAAGTGTGAGGGATGGAGGGCAGCGGGAGAGAGGCCGGGAAACTGGGAAACGCTGCTGGTGGGGATGGGAAGGGGGCCTGTGCAACAGCCAGCCTTTAATTAAAGGTCTTTAAAGAACTTTCCCAGCTGGTTAACATTGCCTTGCCATATTGGAGTGGTTTAGGAGGGAGTGACTCTCTTCCTGTCAGCCCTGTGCGTGTGCGATGGCTCCTGGTCCCTCACCCCTTTGGAAAAATGGGGCAGAAAAAAGTGGGTCTGTGCCTTGCTGGAGAGGACAAGGAGAGCCCTGCATCTCCCAAGGGACAAACTCTTTTTTCTAAGCTGGTTTCTGCACCCAAATGTGTTGAATGCAGCTCTTGCAGCCCCTGGAGCAGCTGGAGGGGGGTGTGTGCCAGTGGCACCAGCACGGGCTGGAGGGGACAGGTGTGTCACCAGCAGCCAAACACTGCTTTGGGAATACCTGGTCCAGCTGGATTGGGAATGCCTGATCCAGCTGCTTTGGGAATGCCTGATCCAGCCCAGGGTGGATATTGGTGACAGGAACCAGCACTGGGCTGTGGGGAGCTCTGAGGGCAAAGCTACACCTGGAGCACTGGAGATCCTGTGTGGCAGCTGTGGGATCCTGGCACAGGGTGCTGGGGGTGCCATGGGGCAGCCAGAGCTCTCCTCTGGAGCTGTCCTGTTCCTCCTGCTGGAATCAACCTGCAGAAATGGGATTTGGAATGGCAACATCTCCCTCCTGCCAGCTGGGGACAGACAAAAACCTGCACTGAGGTGTTACTGCTGAAACTTCCTGGGGACTTATCCCACCTCTTTTGGCTTTATCTGCTCACCCCAATCCTCCCAGAGCTTTTCCTTCCTCCATCCTGTGCTGGAA